GGGACGTGGGTTACATTCATCGTCACCACTGCAAAAGGAAAAAAAGTGGAAGATTATCTCCTAACATGCTCGGAAATGAAACTTTTTTTTTGCTTTTGTTTTTGGCTGGGTGTTTTTTTGTTTTTTTTCAGCATCGTGAACGCTAAAAGCACTATCAACGCTACGTGCTCGCAGAAATGTGATCACGTAATGTCTACTGCTGCTTTTACTACAAAAATGATTTCTCGCAGCAACTTCATTTTGACGTTCAGTTTTATCCTAGATGATATCTAGGAGCCACACAACTAAATAAAAGTATGAGCGTCACACTCAAGTATATATAAATTGTTTGACATCTCTATAGAGATCTAACTCGGATGATGGCCAGGTTACTGTACTTCGCGCGTCCAGCTATATTTTTGGGGACTTGGGTGGGGGCATTAATATGAAAAAGTGCCTATCGCATACAGGTTTCATTTGGCTATAGTTTTCAGATTTTGGTGAAAAAGGTACACTTATAATTGATGACAACTGCTTCTTATTTCGAGGCACACAAATGACCACGCATCCATTAAAATACGTTCCGTGTGTGAGTGCTTCCCTAAATGTGGTGATAAAAGGAAAACATACAGTAGAGTGTCTAGTTGGGAGTAACCTTGTCATATTGAGGGCGCAGTCGACCAGCGTTTGCTATCACAACATCACTAGACGGTGCTGGACGAAGACGTTATTCCTGAAGATGATTAACACGGCAGGAGGGGCGAGAATAGATCCTATTTCTATGCCCCCCGAGAGTGACTGTTTGTCCTTTGTCCCCAACTATGGCCTGTTGCAAGAAAGTGTCAGCCGTTGGGAGGGTGAGCGCTTCTTGTCCACAGGGGTTTGGGACAGAAACTCAAGTCCTCCGTCTTCTTTTTTTTCTATCGCATCGTCTTCTGAACCTCCATCTCTCTCTCTCTCTCTCTCTCTCTCTCTCTCTCTCTCTCTCACTCTCTCTCTTACTCTCTATCTATCTCTTTCCACCTCTCTCTTTCTCTCTCTCTCTCTCCCTCTCTCTCTCTCTGTCTCTCTCTCCCTCTCTCTCTCCCTCTCTCTCTCTTATCTTCCTAAAACCAACATGCTACCGTTCTTTCCTTTTCATTTCCTGAACAAAAGCCCTTTGTATGTTATCCTGGAGCCCATCACTATCACGGGTACTATGGGCTCTCACA